ACCAAACAACTTTGATATTGCCACAAAATTCGTCACTACCTTCATAGTGGTTCAACCCTCGTAGTTCAGGTCTTTCTCAAAGTCGAGCTCCTCATGGTCAGCCAGCCAGCCTCATAGTTAGATGATTATCCTCAGGGTCGATTACCTTCATCGACACCTCACCCCAAAGTTCCCTGAAAGTCAGTTCGCCATCGATGCTAGAACACTCTTCTTTCGTCGGCTCATCCTTATGTATGGCTCAAACCCTCAAGTCGGCTCATTACCCCACATACTCGGCCTCACCCTCATAGTCGCTGCAACCTCATAGTTCGGCTCATCCCGTCAAATCATTCTAATCGTGACACAACTCAGTCCATTCACCCTCAGTGACGGACTCGAGACCAACTCTCATTAGCTCACCCTCATCATTGGTTCACATCATAGTAGCGCTATCCTCCAGTCATCTCATCCTCATAGACCTACTCATCTTCCATCATCGACTCTTCCTAATAGTCGAGCATCCTCGTTCACAATCATCCTCCACCAAACCACTCATCCTTTCCACACGACAATTCGTCCCGATTATCTCCACCAGAGCATCACCACCAACCATTATCATCGCATCCGCCATCGCCACCACTTCCCACATCTAAACTGCAACTGCCACCCGCGCCCCGCCCGCCCCGCCCGCCCTGCCCCGCCCCGCCCGCCCGCGCCGTGCGGCGCGAGGTCAGCGGCCGCCGCGTGATTCGCGGAGACCTGTGGATCTGATTTCGAGTTCCCGGCGGGAGCCCCGCGCCATTCCGCGCACGTGGCCCTCGCGGAAGGTGACGCGACCTCGCCCGCGCGTGCCCGCGCACCTGCGCCCGCGCTGCTCCGCGCCGACCTGCCGCGGCGGCGGCGGCACGGCTTCATTCGACTGCGTAATTTTTTTTTTAATATTTATTTTCTCGCTGTCGATAGATTGTTAGTGATTCCGGACGCGTCAACTGATCATTAGTCCCGTAAGCGTAGATCATGTTTTTGCTCGGGAGGTGGCGGTGGTCTTTCCCTGCAGGATAGCGATCTCCGGCGCCGACCTACCGTTGGCTGGCTGGGTTATCCCTAACCAGGTATCTTCGGCTAGCAGGGCACCGGCCCAAACAGGGCAAGCTCTAAGCTTCGGGCCGATCTGCTGGCACGTGTGGTGGTGTAGTGCATGCAAGTATAAGTGAGTGAAATAGGGGAGAGGATAGGACTAGGAAGGGGAAGTAAAAATCGCGCGCGGTCTGTGGCCCGTTCGTTACGGTACTGCTCCGGCATTCGACTGGTGTCGTTCGGAAAAAATAAAAATAAAAAATACCGATCAGAGCAGCCGGTTGTTATCATTCTCCTCCATGCAGCGACTGAATTCGACCCAGCTGACAAGCTAGTGTCGAAAATCCTGTCGCCATCGCGGCTCGAACCTAGGACATCCCGGTTAAAGGGACTGCAGTGACATCAGTTGATGCACAATGCCAAATCTCCCGGTTTCTGTCTGTCCTATCCATTGATTTTACAGTGATTTGCATGGCATATTACCATAACTGTGTTAGAGTTTAGGCAGGGGGGAAGTTCATTTATTCAGATGCCCCCTCTTACTTTGTTAGAATTTTCTTAATTAATTATTTAGATTTTGAATTTATAATGTTTTAGTGTTTAATGTTACGGTTGTGTGTTTATCAATCGTTTACCTATAGACCAATTACTTTGCTCACTCTCCTCCCTAAACTTGCTCCAGCTGAAACCACAACCAAAACTAGAAGAATGGTTCCCGGAATATCAGTATTATGGATCTTGTTTACTTCAGCGGTTCTTTTTTTTTCAGTGGGGCATTCGACGAAGTATAGTATGTAGGTTTATTGTACAAACTGAAGAAACACCTTGGATACTCTTATTATGTCCTATTAAAACCCTATCTAAGTAATAGATTCCTCAAAATGAAGCATAATAACGAACTATCTTCCTTTTGCCTTATCATGTCTGGCGTCCCCCAAGAACGTGTACTGGGTCCAGTGCTGTAAGTAGTTTACACTTCTGAATTTCATACAACCCAAGGAATAGTAACAGCTACTTTACTGACGATACGTCAGTTCTAGATCCACACAGTAATGCAGTAAAGGTCTCTCAATTGCTTCAGTGATATCTCAATAAACGACACACATGGCTAAATAATTGGCAAATACGAGCGAATAAAAGAAAATCAAGTCTTATTTCTTTCACCATAAAGAGAATAATTTATGGTGAATTAAGTAATTCCAGTTAAAATGCAGAAAAATGCATAGGTTGTTTGGTAGAAGCTCACTTTTAGCATTAGACAATAAATTAATAATGTATAAATCATTATTTAAGTCTGTTTGGATTCTGGAGTACCAGTAGTCAATCCAGTATCCAAATTATCAATAGATTTCAGTCTAAAGTAGTAAGAAACATTCTTAAATCGCATCTGGTATATTCGAAACGATGTGATCGACGGCGAGTTTAAAATCCAACAGTTAATGAAGAAATAAAAAATTGTTGTAAATATAATAAAAAGTAGAATGCCATACAATTACTTAAGTTACAAATTTTTTAGTAACAGTTTAGAAATAAGGCGACATGAAAAATTCAAGCCTCTGTATTTTGACTTGAATATTTTTGTGTTGTTATACGTGTATCAATTGTATTACAGGCGAGATACTAATGAGTATCTTCTTCAAACAATGTTAATTATGTAGGTCAACAAATTTATTTATGGTTGACAAGTTAGAAGAGATTGTAAACAATAATACAAAAACAAGTCCATGACGATCTTCTTTCTCGATATTTAATCTATGGCGTTATGCAATAAGGCCCTGTACTAAATCAATGCTCCAAACGTGTAAACTTAAACCGTCTTAATTTCTGTCCTCATCTTACCCACATCTATCAGAACTTCCAAGTTTCACATCAGCTATAACCTCGAACAGTGTACGCATCCTCACAACCCTACATCACGCTAATGATAACTTCAAACAACATTATCGAAACGTTTCGGATAGGGCAATATAGAGGGATGGTCATATCCAAGACAATAAAACGTAGAAAGAAATTTTTAAACTTCTCTAGAGACAGAAATGTCGAACGATCAGATATAAACTAAAAAAAACAACAACTCGGTACTGATCGTTTGATAGGCCATTCTCAAAAGTTCGTGCAATCCGCTGCTCTCGTGCAGATAACTGCGCACGTGGCGGACCGGAGGGGTTTGACCTTGCCCCGCCCGAGACACCTGACCCGCGAGCGTATTTCTACCTGCTACATCCAATCCCGCTCGCCGCGATTGTAAATCGAACCGCACACGCGAAGCGTAATGTACGGCTCGACTCCGCGAATTGAGACGCTCCGCAATAAGCGATCGTATATTTCACGCGGAAATAACAGCCCCGCGGAGAAAAGGAACAGAATTCCCGCGATGTAACGCCGCGGGTCCTCAGCTGGACGGAGGATCTGATACATGTGACCCCCCCCCCCCACGGAGACCCGACACGTGACCTCGCGTCAACTTCCAACACCTTTCCGTCCGATTCCTCGCGCCCCGAGTTGTAAATCTCGCGAACAGGTGATTCATAATGCGATCATAATAAATGAAACGTATCCCTTTAAACTTTATGTGCCTTCGACCATCGTCCGAGTGATTTAATGGTTGGGTAATAAATGTCTACGCGTGCCCTGTTAAGGGGTGGCTAATAGACGCTGGCCGAGGTGCGATAATTTTGCTGAAGCGGAGTTGGAGCGAAGATCGTGATGATGAGCTGGGAAGTGAGAAGGATTCGATAGTGATTGCCCTTCGCGTCCGGACTAGTAATCGACTTATGACGTAAGAAAAAATATTCTCCTTTGAAAACATTAAGTTGGTTACATTCGTTTTGCATTGAAAGCAAGTATGTTTTGTAAACTTCGGCAATTGTTTCATCCTTATTAAAGTAATGAAATAAAATACATTAATCTGTATTCACAATGAAAACACATTAAAGTTATTCATTATTTCAATATACTGTTAATGCATGAGAGAATTAAGTAAATTCTTGGAAGTGCTTCACAAAAAATATTAAACCGTGTGGTCATAAATGTGTATACTAACGTCATTATGTATTCAGAGACATTTTTAATGCTTTGTTGATTTACTTAAAATGAAATAATGGTCGTATCATTGAAATCACGCGCTCTTTCAGTATAGATTGTAATGAAATGAAAGGTAATACACTTTCAGTTTAATTAATCAGAGACTTACATCTCAAGTGAATTTATAGCCCGTACAGTGTCGAGAACTTCAGATATAATTGAAATAATTGTCACAATTAGTTGAATTTAAATTCACTAATACTGCAATATTTCTTCAAATAATACACCGAAAATCTGGATCATATCACTATCACGACGATTTCGTAACTTCTGAAACCCTCATTCATCTTTACATCTCCCGAGACAGTATATTAAATTTAAATTTTAGGAAATGGGAAGATCAAATCTCGGAAGAAACCATGGTATGAACTTCAATGCCTCAAGCAAGTGTAATCAAATTAAAGAACTTTGGGACACCGCCAGTCATTCCAATTGTAAAAAAACCTCTAACGTTTCCAGCCCAAAACCCTCTACTTCATAAAAAATAAAATATAAAATGCACCAGGGTCCATTTCTAATGTCACTGAACATAATGATTTTCCAGAACCTGATCGTCATGGAAGTAATACCATAGCGCAGTTAAAAGCATATCACCGGATTGAACAGTCACACAAATCATCTCATTCTGAACGTAATAAACAGTGAAAACAGACGAAGTAAACGATTCCACCCCGTTAGATTTGGATGAAAGATTTATCAATAGATAAAAGTTCAATACAGATAAATTAAATAAGATATTTTTTCAAAAGGTAAGATTATTTTTTAAACTATTTTCTAATTTTAAAAAAATCACCTAATATTTAAATGTAAGAAAAAATTGTGAATAAAATATAATAAAATATTTAAAAAAATATACTAACTTGTTCAAATAAGTACTGCACGACAGTTCGTTCGCTTGTGTTCGCTTGTCGATGTTGTGGTGACATTGCGAAGGTCTCGAAGACATAGATCTGGAAATTAATTATAATGGCACTAATTTACATGCATAACAATAATTAATTAATTACATAAATAAAATACTTATTATTTATGATGTGTGGATTACCTTTCAAAGGATAATGTGTCTAGAAAATTAACAATAAAATATGGAAAAGTCATTGACTTCAATATTGGACTACATAGCTTCTGTTCACGGTTTTCTCCATTCGTCCTGATAATGTCCCAGTACGGGCTCAATAAGAGTCTCAAATTTAGAAATAATTCAAAAATTCTCATCTCAACTACTGAGATCAGCTACCATGTCATCTTGGTACGTTAGAAATGATTTTCTCATAGACTTAAAAATACCAGAATCTATAACGATGAGAAGTTTCAAATATCAGCAAATATTAAAAAGATAACCAAATCAATTGGCAACGAACTTTATAGAAAACAACCTTGATTCAAGAGACTAGTAGTCGTTTAGCCAACTAGATTTAATTAATAGATTAAGTAGGTAGATTCATTATTAGATTAATTAATTATTAGCTTAAGTATTTAATTAAAGATCCACACTGAGCGACTTTTCCATACCTTTTTCTGTATACATTAAAAAGTTTTCCTACTCTTCTGTACATGAACAAATTAAAAATTAGGAGAATATGAAGATGTCGTCGTAAAAGTGGGATTTATCAGCAAGCAAAATAAGCAAATGCTTAGGATCCCCGCGCCCCAGGGGAAAAAAACATAACATTTCACCCAAAAAACGACATAAAATTTGTTGGTATGTGTAAAGAATTCGTTATTTGTTAATCAAATAAACTGCTTTGCTAAAGAGTTTGTATTTAAAAATTAATTTTTAAAGTAGATAAATGCTACCGTATCTAATATTAGCACGCAGTAATTTTTGAAACTGTGCGCACAAATTGTCTAGGTTAGACTTCCAATACTCCAAAGTCGGTTTTACAATATTTTTGTCAAAAAAGGGGTGGGAAGAATTATTTCTGAAGAGTTCAAATGCGATTTTGCGCTTAGGGAGCCCTCAGTATCTAAATCCCGGGCTGCGCAAAGCTCTTCCGCGTTCGTACCCGCCCGCGAAGTCGTCGCCTCGTCCAGCCGACGATGCTGTGACTCATCGCGCATGGCCCAGCAGCGAGCGTTGCGCTGGCTGCCCCGACGCGGAGCCCCTGCGCAGGCGGTGCAAATAACACCTTGTCCCGGCTGCGGCGGACCCAGCGCCGACCTCATTGACGTCCTGACAGCGTCGATGCCTCCACAAGGTGCTTTATTATGCCGAGTGCGGAAGGCATGTAACGAGGTCTCGCTGAATAACTGGGATGGAGGGGGGGTGGGGCGTTGGGTGTATGCGAAGTCTTTGATTATTTGATGGGAATTGACGTATCAATGTCAGCTGTAGCGACGCGAATCTACCGTATGGGTGATTTTTGGGGTATTTGCTGCGGTAAGTAGCAATAAAAATGCACATTATTCTTAGCAGCGTTTTGAAAATGCGTAATGCATATTGCACGACGTCGAAAATTAATTTCAAAAAATCTTTTCTGGTTGTTGAAAGACAATGTAGACTGGTTTTTGAAAAACAACAACAATAATAATAATAATAATAATAATAATAATAATAATAATAATAATAATTCAATACGTCTATAAACGGCTACTAATATTTTTCGGTAAAAATGAATACCAAATGAGTATCAAATATATGCTTAAGATTTGTGTCAATATATTGACTAGGAAAATATGTTTCAAAAGTCAATGGTTGTTATGGAAAACACGTTAGAATCGCAGGTCCTAACCCAAAAATTGTCATCAGCAGTCATTACATTCCAAATATTTTGTTTCTGAGCTACTTTTTGGTATACGGTGTTCAAATCATCTTTACGATTTCTAACCAATGCAAGTGGTTCAACAGAATGGCACAGCCGTTTTTCATTCAATAGAATACGGCAACTAGGAAGGAAACAAAAGTCGCGTGAATGGCGACGTTGAGAAAGGCCGACCGCTTTCTTCCTCCGCCTACGAGCGCCGCATCGTATTTGTTTTGCACCTCTCTTCTGCGTCATAAGGCGTTACACTTTTACGCCCTCCTGAACGCAGTTTTCCTGGTCGACCAGCCATTAAACCAAGGCAGCGGCGGCGAAGTAGGCGGTGTGGGTGGCGGGGTACAGAGGGTGGTTGGTGAGGTCGGGGTGCCGGCGGTGAAATAAGCGAGGGCGGCGTGGGCGGCGTTATAAAGGCGGGGGCGGCTGGGCGACGAGGCGACTGGACGGCGGGGCGATGGAGAGGTGAGGGGTAGAGGGGTAGAGCGTAGAGGGGCAGGCGGTAGAGCGGGGCGGCGGGGGGCGGGCGGGGCAGGGCGGGGGCGGGGCGGGGGCGGGGGGGGCGGGGGGGGGGGCGGCGGGGGGCGGGGCGGCGGGCGGCGGCCGGGGCGGCGGGGGCGGCGCGGGGGCGGGGGCGGCGGGCTGCGGGGGGGCGGGCGGGGCGGGGGGGCCGGCGGGGGGGACGGGGCGGGGGGCGGCGGGGCGGCGGGGCGGCGGGCGCGGGCGGGGGGCCGGGGCGCGGGGGCGCGCGGCGCGGGCGGCGGGGCGGGGCGAGCGGGGGGGCGGCGGGGGCGGCGGGGCGGCTGGGCGGCGGGGGCGGCAGGAATGACGAACGCGGCGACGTATGCGGAGGCCCGAGCTAATGAGGAGCCGAGCGCCGGCGAAGGGGAGGTCAGGGGTCGCGAGGCGGGCGCCGCGAGGGGACGGGCCGGGCCCAGCCGCGGCTCCGGGATGCCGGAAGAAGAGGGAGCGCCGGAGGACAGGGCTCCGGGCAGCCGTCTGGCGCGCATCCGGGCGGACGCCGGCGCGGCGTTGAGGGCGCTACCGGCCCGATTTCGGCACTCCGCCTTCCGGAGGCCCAGGTGCAGGGGAGTTAGGGCGAGCTCTCAACGTAAGCGTAATTTCGAGGAGGGGAGCAAGGGGAACCTTACCTCCGCCCTCCCCTTATTTCCAGCTTCACTGAATTTTTGCATAAAAAATGTATTGCTATAAAATGACTATTCAAAACAAGTAAATTACCTTCTATCGAATAATTTTGAAATAAATGAAAGCAGAATTGTACGATAATAATTCTAAAGATGTTCCTTTTCAGTTGCACGAATTTTTCTTCCAATATTTTTCAGACGCCTTGCCTTGCAAGTGAGGACGGCGCTGTTTGAAGGCAGCTCTCTGTGGTCAGCGTTTTGTCCCATGGTCGTCAGCGTTTCCATCGTGGCCACCGGTTGGACCCATGTGACCCAAGCAAAGTGATGGTCTTTTTGCGCATGTCATGGGTCGTTCCTTAATACGCTCGTCACATTCTGCGTGATAAATTATTTCTCATGTTATCGGAACACGTACTATGAAGAGCATTGAGAACTCAAAGACTAATTGAGATGACGCTCTTGAGTGTGAGAATTTTCAGTAGTGATTTTCTGCTTCTCTTGTGTGTGTAGCGAGAGGACAGAATGTGCAATAATAATAATAATAATAATAATAATAATAATAATAATAATAATAATAATAATAATAAGAATAAAATTGTTATAATAATAATAATAATTAAATAATAATAATAAATATGATTAATTTAATATTATATGTTTGGGTCGTATTTAATTCGACGTTTGTCCAGATAAGTGGTGCCTCCCAGGCTTGGACATTTTTTAAAATGTATCCATGCCTGATGTATAAGGGAGGCATAGTCTGGCAAATACAACGTTTCTCTCACTGATAATGGCTGAAACAATTTGATTGTGTAGGAAAAATGAAACTCTCATGAATACAAGTATTTAAATTTAAAAAATATTTTCTTTTGAATATAATCAATTTCACTGCCAATATTTATTTATTTTATTTATTTATTATTTTATTTATTTATTATTTTATTTATTTATTATTTTATTTATTTATTATTTTATTTATTTACTATTTTATTCATTTATTATTTTATTTATTTATTATTTTATTTATTAATTAATAAAATATGTAACTGCTTAAACGAAACCTGAGAGGTTTCAATAAGTATGAATTGTTTCAATGAATCATTTGTAGGTCGTTTCATAAATATCTACTAGCTTGCACATTAAACAGTTCTTTGAATTGTGCTTCTAGGTATTGATGAGAACGTCCCTTTTTAAGGTTCCTTTGCATCAGAGCAAAAGTTACTATGTAGTTAGCTAATTGTTGCTTTTTATGTTCAATTATCGTCATTCTCTCGTTAGATTATTTTATAATTATTTAATGTAGTTGAAAGTTTACTTGGGTATTGTGAAAAGAAAAAAAACATATGATACTCATTATTATAACAGGATTAGTATTGAATTGATATGATAGTTTTGACCACGATGAGAACAAAACTAATAATTTTAGTGAGCGTATGAGTACTTGACATGCTAATGCGGCTATTCATTATTCAATATAAATACCCAGGTGTTGTATTGCGACAACAAGAAAATTGATATCATGTAATGGTTTAAAGTTGTTACGCAGTCCAGAAATGGAATAAATATTCTTACTCTCATAAGAGGTGCATCTCCTTCATCAATCTTCCCTTATCCGTCCTGCGATTTTAGAAAGTCGGCGCCTGTGTCCTTGGTACTTCCAACGATAATCGGAAGAATTACTCGGAGGTGGTCTTCTAAACACGGCATTGTGGCATCAATGCCGTGATTTATACGCTTGTGAAGTTAAGCACACAACAGGAAAATAGCCCACGCCTGTGATCTTCCGGAAAGAAAAACTGATTTAATGCGGAGAAAGCAGGGAATCCTGACAAAACATTTCATATCTCTCCTCAATCTGAAAGGAGCTTAACCCGAAAAAACACTACACTGGAATAAATCAAGAATTCTATCACGTTTTCCTACTGTGGGACTGAGCCCAGGATTACTCGCAAAGGAATCTGAGTGTTGGTAGCAGTTTACTAATTGATCCCGACTTAAAATACCCTCTCGCTGACATTTACAACGTGAAATATACCCACTTTCCCTAGT